TCTCTTCCTGCTCCTTTTTTAACCAGAGTCTTGATGCTGGGGGTGGGGGCTTGGCTGTGTGACCAGTGTAGTCCAGCACACAACCACTGGCTCTGGCTTGAGCAGCAGGAGCTTTTGCTTCCCTGTCCCCTCCAAGTTCTGTTTTTCTCCATCATCATCTCACCACTTCTGCCACACCAGGATAAGTGATTTTGTAGCCAGGTGGAAGGAACAAGACACTTTCTTTGTGGGATTAGTTTCAGACAGATCTTTTCTTGTTCCAGCCGTCCTGGTGGTGGCCACAGTAATGCTGGCATTGATCAAAAAGGAAAGCAGTAAGAGTAATCAGCCAGGAAGTTGACTAACAAGAGGGAATAATCAGCAAGGAGAATGGGACAGCTCTCTTCAGTGACTTTCCATCCTTGCACTACATGAAAGTGGCTGTAAATGTAACATCAGCTCCAGGAGGAATCAATTCCGTGCAGCATTTCTGAACTGAGATTTAAACCCGTGAAAATACAGCTCGTGCTAAGAGGTGTCAGGCTGAGGGAAGCACGAGTCAAGTCCAGAAGTGTGAGTTGTGTATTCATTTCTAGGTTTATAAGTGCAGTTAGTGGTGTGTGGGGCTATGAGTCAGTTGCTGTCTGGATACTCATTAAAAAGGTGCTTGTTTGCACGACAGCTCAGCTCCTGCTGCGCACTGAAATGTTTCCCCCGTGCTCTGGTTGCATGTTGCAGTGGAAAGCTTTGCACTGAGGCAGAGTTCAGAATGCAGTAGGGGCAGATGCCATGGAGTGTTTTCCTGTGCTTGCCATCAGCTTGGTGGGTTCTGCATTACTGGGTGAGAAGAGCAGCTCAGCTGAAGGGAATAATCCTGCAGGAGCCCAACACATCATTGTTAATATTAACTTAATATCTGTATAAACTGTGGCCTGTGGCAGTGCTGAGCTGGGGAGTGATGAGAGGAGAGCAGCGTAGCCATCAGTATTTAATTTCAAAAGAATAAATGTGTGTATAACTCTTACCTTTCTTCCTTGATCCTATTTGCCCAGTTAATTTTCTGTAGGGATGATATTGCCATTCTAATAAATAAATTTAAAAAGGCTTCGGTACTGTGGAGTAGTCAGTTTCTAAATATCTTTATGATTAGCAGAATGTGACGGTTCTAAATACTTAATTTACAAATTCAAAATTCTATGGAGAAATAATCCTTCTTTCTGTTGTCACTTAATGAGTAATTTCAAATTAAAAGCTCTAGAAATTTCCATCAAAGCTGATTTTATAAATAAAAAATTTTCTTCAAGCATTAGTTTGTCGAGACAGTAAAAAAAAAACAACTTGGAAAGCATTGAATCTAAACGTTTAAGATCATGTCCATGTTTGTTTTCCTAAAATATTTAACAAAAATAGAGTAGGGTTCACAAATGTGCAGAAATAATTTTAAAATCAGTTTTTCAACAGCACACCATTTGCAGCCTTTTAGAAAGGATCCAAGTGGTGATACAGTATTAAAGAGATTTCAGTCTCTTGGCTTTAAGTTGCTTTTTTTCAGGGAGGAAAAAAACCCCTTTTTCAAGGATTCTGGAATCTTTTTCAAGGTATGAAAAATGCATATTTTATGATTGGCTTTTTGCAAATATTAAAATGAATATTCTATGTGTTGTGTTAGAAAGTACTGCTATATTAATTCTCTTAAGTAGTGTGTTAAATATAGTTTTAGGTTTTAAAAAATGTTAAAATAGAAACAATGCTATGTAAGATACTTTTTTTAAAAGAAAGGACTCGCAGCAAGATAGCAGCCACAGGACACCTAAATCTTTCAGAGAAAAAGAATTTATGGCCCTCTTATGAGAAGAAACGAACTTCTTCCTGCCTCGATGGTGCTGTTAGGATTCAGAGGAAGAAGCTGACGATGACCAGACAGAATCCTGTGTTTGAATGGAATTTATGCATCATGTATGAAGTGTATGAATATGCAACAGGCTGTTGTTTTTAAAGGTTAATCCTTTGTTAACGGGTGTCCTTTTTCGGGCTCATGCTGCCCAGAAAAAGGTACCCGGATGTCCGTAACTCTTTGTTTCTATTGTCTCATATTGTCCTAATTCAAATTGTCCAAATTATTATTACTCTAATTGTATTACTATTTTTATAACCATTTTATTACTATTAAACTTTTAAAATTAAAAAAAAAACAAGTGATTGGCGTTTTTCACAAAGGCTTTAGAAAGGGGGGAACAAGTATAATAGAAAATAGTTAAATGTTGCATAAAAATATTAATTCATTGTAACAATTGGGATTTTATTCAGTTGCAGTCATCTCTGGTTGAATACTGACATGACATTTGTAGCTCCACCAAGGGTTTCCAAAGGCGTCCTTTGGCCAGCCGGTGCGCTCGGAGTGATTTGTTTGGGTTTATTCCCTCGATGGAAGAATCTGCCGGGACTTGCAGGGAATGCATTCGGCGCTGCAGCGGCCGCAGGAGGGTGGGAGGACGAGGGTGTGCATGGCTTGGTTTGCATGGGGCAGCAGTCAGAGCTGAGTCCCACCAGCAGATCTGTGCTCGCGTTTCCCAGCCCTCGGCAGCTGGAAAAGCTGTTCAGCTGGGGAGGCAGAGGAAGAGAGCTGGAAAAGCTGTTCAGCTGGGGAGGCAGAGGAAGAGAGCTGGAAAAGCTGTTCAGCTGGGGAGGCAGAGGAAGAGAGCTGGAAAAGCTGTTCAGCTGGGGAGGCAGAGGAAGAGAGCTGGAAAAGCTGTTCAGCTGGGAGGCAGAGGAAGAGAGCTGGAAAAGCTGTTCAGCTGGGAGGCAGAGGAAGAGAGCTGGAAAAGCTGTTCAGCTGGGGAGGCAGAGGAAGCGAGCCGCTGCAGAGAGGCATTGGCGCAGCCATATATGGGAAAGGACATTTTCCTTGTTAGCCTTGCTGGGACGCTGTGCCCAGAGCTGCATTCATCACGCGGATGCGCTTCCACTGGAACGTTTGTCTTCCAAACGGTCTTAATCATAGCTTTAGCACTGTGTCACATCTTTGCTGACTTATTTATATAATCTGTGTGGACTTGCTGTGCATCCACTCTTAGACTGCCCTAAAAAGGTGAACTGTTTGTAGTTTTCTTGTCTAGGCTGACAGAAAAGTTGGTGCTCATCTGATGCCAGCAGCTTGGCTTTTTTCTTACTGATAAGTCCACCCCATTCTGGGCTGTACTAAAAGCAAAACTGCTTCTCAAATAACAAAATATCCTTTCACTTGAGGGAAGCAAGGTTTGCTGAACACAGCACACCTACCATAAAACCAGGAAAGAAGAAGCTGAAAATTGAGCAACCTGTTAAGGACTTTTGCTGTCCAGACTCCTGGTCTGGTAGGTGAGCTCCTAACCATGTAACCACTGTCTTTCCAGGCCTTGGTTCAGTCCCTTCATCTGTCTTCCAACTGCTCACATTCCTGGTGTCACTTTCCCTCTGATCAAGGTTTGTGGTTGCACAGGTTGAATTTAGGTGATTACTTATAAAGGGACTTAATAAAAGTGTTCTGGAAGAGAGTTTTTGTGAATGAAGGACTGCAACAGTGTGCAGAGAGAAATTCAAGTTGTGTATATGCAGAAAGTAGTGTTCAAAAGTTAGGTAAGATAGAAGTCATGCTTCAATTTTCTCCTCTCTTTTTAACCCCTAATTTCTTTTGTGCTTATGCATAACATCTGTCAAAGTAGTTCAAAAGCATATTCTCTTAATTCTGCTGTGTCTAAACTGCACTGCCCGTCCTCTCACCATAGCATCCACTGAAAAGTGAGCCAAAATGATTTATCAGAAAAATATGAGCCATCTAATACTGTTGTTGGATACAATTTGTTAGCAAAGGTTTGGCTTCTGTTTGAAATTTTCCCCATCAGATTTTGGAGTGGCCATCCCTTCTCTGGTAGGTCTGGCTGTGCAAATGTGCAAATTAACAATTGTGTTTCAGTGTGCAAAAACGAAAGCTCAACTGCTGCACTAATTTGAGCATTGCTTACTTTGTTGCTAATTTATACAAAAAACAGTACTTCTTCTAGAAAAATGACATATTCCGTTTAGGAGATTCTGCCAAATTCACTTTCCTTGGCTATACTGCACGATATTTTTTAGGACAAAAAGTTATTAAGAATACTTTTGTTTCAAGGATGACTGGAAAGGCTTTAATTAGCAGCAACATTTTAGGGTGTTCAAGGAAACTGGCCGTTATCATCTAAGTTCTCAGAACTCTTATAATGAATAAAAGAGAAATATAATTTAAAATAGTATCAAAATTTAAAAGGCAACTGACCCTGGCTGACTACCTGCTATTAAGGTAGGAAACAATTTAGAAAAATTTAGCCTTTCATTAGTACTTACAGCACTGAACAATTGGTTTTTTTTCTTTGATATGGGTGGTATCCATTAATTCTCTGTTGTCTAAAGAAGAAAAAACGGGTAGATTTTAAGTCAGGGATGCTTTATGGTGCATATTTTGATATGAAATTTCTAGTTTCTTGGATAAAGTGCAAATCTGTAAAATGCCCTTTGAAGATTATGAAGAAAATGTTTTGTAAAAAACATGTTTTGGTGTTTATCTTAAAACAGAGGCGTGAGTCTAGAAGCTCTGTTTCCGTCCTGTAGGACTGTGGTAGCTTTATTTAGAAGTCTCTCTGTGATAACATTCAGAGCATAAATATTTTTTATAAGGTGTTAAAAATTTGGTCTGGGTTCTTCCTCCCAAGTCAACAACGTTTCCAAATTTCTCATAGCTTGCTGGTTTACCTAGCAGAAAAGCATTTCAAAATAATTTAAGAAGCTACCCTGTTTGATGTCTTCTAAATACAGTGTAGCCCACAAACATGGTTTGTATTAGGGCAAAGCTGTCCAGTGGTACAACTAAGATAATTAGATTTGCATTCGTTCCGTGTTCCTTGTCTCCTCTGAAACACTGTTGTGTGTCCACAGCTTCGTGAAATTATCTTTTTTGCACTTACTCATTAGAGTAAATCATCCAGTTTGGTTTCTGTTTTGTCTTCCAGACTAATTTCAGATGGCTCACATGTGCTGGCGTCCTCTGTTGCTTGATATGGAATGGATTTGCCCAGCAAGGTAAGGCACTTGATTGCACTGCAGTAGTTAATTGCTGTTTTAAAACTGTATCTGTTTAGCAGTTATTTATGTGGATAAATATATCCTCACTAGACAAATGCTCATGGCAGTAGGTCAGTCATATCTCTTGTCAATAACCTGTAGTTAGAACTTAGTTTACAAAACCAGAGTGAACCAAAGTGAAATGCTGTTGTTGTAAAACACCTTTTTATACCTGAAGTGACGGATTTGCGTTCCTCACTAGGTGGAAGCGACTGCATAAAAGCAAATGCAAAGTCATGTGGGGAATGTATACAAGCAGGACCAAACTGTGGCTGGTGTAAAAAAACAGTAAGTGTTGCAAAAATCTTCTTATGGTTTGGTTTTTCCCCTTGGTTTCACTCTAGTAAATACTTTACCCGTATAGAAATGACTGTTTTCATTAATAGTAATTTCCTGTAGTTCTTCAATTCGATACTTATTTGGACTTTAAAAATCAAATGCTGTGATTTTTCTGATTTGAGTATAAACATTTTTCACAATGTGTTTACTTCTCCTTTTCTAAATCCTAAGTGTATACAGACCCTATAAGCCGTCTCATAGTTATTTAAAATTACTCCACTGTGGAATCTGTTTGAGTACGCTTAATTATAGTCTTCCAGTGACATTAGAGTTAAAGCTAATTTTAGACAGATGTAGGTGGAGTAGGGAAAGAGATTGAAGGGGATTTTTCTTCTAAGAGAAAGATTTTCAAATTTTAGTTTTCTGTTGATAGACTTGAGGAGTAAGAGATAGGTTTGTGTGGGTGGCTAGTTTGTTTCATTATGAAACAAAAAGGGTATGTTAAGAAAAATTAAGTTTAGGAAACTGCAAAATATAAAATATAACCACCGTATGCTGGCATATCTTCTTCAGGTTAGAAACAGAAGAAATTATTTTCTATAGCTCTTCTTTGGTTTGTTATTGAAACTGAGAAATTTTCCTTTTTCTTGCTAGATGATAATTTATTTTTATTTCTATATATTGCCTACTTACTATTCCCCAAACCAGCTTATAAACTTGCAATATTTAATTAAACTGATTGGTTTTATAATTTTACCTTGAGCTATCAGATTTCCTGGAGGTCTGTGTCACCAAAAACTGGCAAGCTTTAGTATACATTTATTTATATGCATATTTTAAGGGAGGGAGCAGAATCAGAATTGCCAAGTTTCTCAATTAGAAGCCTTATTTATTTATATTTGAGGTTATAGCTTTTTTAGGGTTTGATGTAATGATAATTTGTTGTTCAGAACAAAGTTAAGGATTGATTTTGCTTACGGGTGTTGCTTTCAGATTGAATTTCCCCAAAATAAGAGTTGTCTGTCTTTGCCCTGCTCTGTCAGCATATAGCTATTACTTTGTTGTGGAGTACCAAGGTACACTTATATAATCTTAATTAAAAAGGAAAGAATGTTAAAAGCAGGCTGTATGAGTAGGTTCACGTTGGTACTATGTGAAAATGAAAGTTTTTTCTACTCACAGTCACTTCTAGAGTAGCCAATTTAAACAGATGTGCCACTTCTGATTGAGTTGGCATTGGGCTTTATTTTTTTCCTCTCTTGTATCTTATACACAGATAAGTATAAGTAGATGCAAACTCCTGGAGTAAATAGTAGTCATTGAATATATGTAGTATCATTTAATGTATTTCAAGACTGTATGTTTTATTACTGAACTTTGGAAAAAAAATAGATGTGATCATTGTAGAAAGAGCAGTTGTGGGTAGAATATAACGATTTTCACTTTTGCTGTGTTTTCTAGGACTTTTTGCAAGAAGGAGAGCCAACATCTGCCCGGTGTGATGACTTGGCAGCACTGAAGAGTAAAGGCTGCCCCATGGAAGATATAGAGAATCCCAGAGGCAGCAAACAGGTGCTCGAAAATAGAGAAGTAACAAATCGTAAGAAAGGTGCTGCAGAGAAGCTGAAACCAGAAGCCATTACACAGATCCAGCCACAGAAATTATCACTGCATCTAAGAGTTGGTAAGGAGAGTTTCGTTCCAGTTTTGGGATGATTCTCTGTCGCTGCCACGTCTTCTTTTTTTGATTTGCATGTGTAACCATTTTGTTACAGAAATGACTATTTTTCAGATAATGTGAATGATAGCAGAGCCATTCAGTTAGCTCCAGATGTTTGGGTACTCCAAATACTGTTTGATTTTTGAGGAAGATTAGATATTATCACTTGCTCTATTTTTCCAATAGAATTTAGGAGAAAATTGATACAACTGGATTGTTAGATATATCAGAAAGGTAAAATTGTTTTGTTTTCAGTATTTTGTAGTTGATTTTCTAAAGTGTGCCTGTAGGATAAAAGTAGAGGAGTCAGCAAAAACATCAAGTTACTGGAGCATTTCCTTTTGCTTGAAGTTCTGCTGTTTCCTGAAGTGTGCATGTCTGAACAAAGTGCTTTTGTAGTTATGCAGCACAATTTTTGGATTGCTACGTAAAATACCTTCCCGAGGCTACAGATGTGGGCACAGAACCACAGCAGTGAAAACACAAAGTAATTGTGTAGCATTTCTAACCCCTAAAGAGAACTTTATCTAGTTCAAATGAGGGAGGTGGGGAGGAGCAGGGCTAGTGGCTCACTTGAGCCCAATGGAGATTGTCCTCAGGGAGAGTTCCTAGGTACTGTAGACACATTGAGCAGCTGCCTTGTGTTTTCCTGGAAGAAGAGATGGTACTTGGGGTCAGCTGCTTGGTGGTAGTTGCAGTAGTAATTGGAAGGTGATGTGAAGCAGGCTCAGCATGATGTAGAGAGAAAAGTAATGAAAATTTTTTTGCAATTTTGGTATGGCTCCTATTTATTTCTAATGGGAACTTTTTTGCTTCAAACCAAATTACTGTTCCTCTGCTGACACAGAAGTTTCTTCATCAGAACATAGCAGGGACCTGGGCAACCAGAATCTAATTACCCAAAAGATGTTTGCAAGCACTTCCATTGGTATTAGTTCTCTGACAGACTGAGAACTGCAGAGAGATACTTGCTTTCTGTGCAGGCTTTTTGAAATACTAGCTGAGGAAAATTGAAACAGATTTTTGTGCTGGCTTTTTTCCCCCCTTTGTTGTTTGGGGTTTTTTTTTTTGTGAAAACCATGTTACATAGCTGTGTGACTTGCCCATGTAATGTTTTTCTCACTTCACTAATTTTGCTGATGTTAAGTAAATTTTTCCTAATTTTTAAGCAAACTTAAGTAGCAGCAATACTGCCATTTAAGTTCAATGACTGAGAGGAGTGGGCAATCCTATTGATTTAATTCCATATTTCATATAAAATAGGCAAAAGAATACTGTTCCAGTTTCTGGGAAAGGGGGTGTGTGGTATGTGTGTGCAGTCCTTCTGCACTGTCTTTCAGCATCAGAGTGAGACTACATTCTTCTGTAGGTAAAATGCAGGGTCTGGGCTTACAATCACAACAAATACTAACTTGCTGTTCTCTCACTGCCATTTCTGTGCTCTGAGCTTGGTAGATGCAAAATAACTTGCAATATTCCATCCAGAATTATTTTTTCTTTTATAAACCTATTAAAATAATGTAGTTTTTAACTTTTGAGAATTATTGAAGTCATCTTGGATGAAAATAGATGTTGAAAATTTGTGTCATTAGGTCTTACAGGAGCCTTGTTAGAATGACTGCAAGTATGAAGATTTGAAATTGCAGCAATTATAAGAAGCTTGGGTTTTGGCACGATAATTTTTCTGTGGGGAGATAAAGTACCTCAGAAATACCAAGTTGAACATTTGAAAGAAACACTTGTTGGCATATTTTTTAATCATAATTTGTTGTTAAGCATTTCAGTCAACAGGAGAAAAAAATAACTCACCTTAATAACTCACTTTTAGTAATTCAAAACCTTCATAAGAATTTACAAGCCTTTCCTTAGAAAGGCATTTTTCTTGCCAGTGCAGTTACAGAATTTTTAATGGTTTCTGTTTGTTGTTTAATCTCCAAAACAGGGGAACCCCAGACATTTTCATTAAAATTCAAGAGAGCTGAAGACTACCCCATTGACCTTTATTATCTTATGGACCTCTCCTATTCTATGAAAGATGATTTAGAGAATGTGAAAAGTCTCGGAACGGCTCTGATGTTAGAGATGGAAAAAATAACTTCAGACTTTCGGATTGGTAAGAAAGATTTGCCTGTTCTAAAAATACAATAATTTTCTTCTAAGTTTCCTTCCTGATGTTTTTCACATTATTGTATATGAAGAGTATTTTTTTTTTCAGTTTAGCAGTATTATGGCAGATGTTCTAATACACAGGACCTGTTGAACAGCATAAAAGTATTTGGCATTGGTGGAGAAGATGGGATATAAACAAGTATAAGAGCTATTTCTGATGTCAGTTCAGCTATAATGCATTTGAATTCTGTTGTGTGATAATAGAAATGAGACTTCCATTCTTCAACTTACAGGGATTTTGTTGTTCTTTTCTTAGGCTTTGGCTCTTTTGTGGAGAAAACTGTGATGCCTTATATAAGTACAACACCAGCCAAACTCAGAAATCCTTGTACAGGGGACCAAAACTGTACAAGTCCATTTAGCTATAAAAATGTGCTCAGCCTTACCAGTGAAGGAAACAAGTTCAACGAACTTGTAGGTAAACAGCATATTTCTGGGAACTTAGATTCTCCTGAAGGTGGATTTGATGCAATAATGCAGGTTGCAGTTTGTGGGGTAAGTGTGTTTGTTTGGTTTTTTTTTTTTTTTACTTTTCTTTTAGATGAAATTGTTTGAATGCAGCCTTAGTGTTTTATGGTGGCTGACATTTGAGTATGTCACCTCCTGTGAGCAAGACAGGGTAGGTGAGGAAGAATTGAATGAGTGAATGAAACTGGGAAATGTGAAGGGGCCAAACAGAGGTTGTGATCACAGCACATGGGGACTAAGCTTTTAAAGTTTGCTGTAGAGGAAGACTCAGGTTCTGCTTTAAAATGTATGAGATCCTGAGTAAGCAATTATTCTCAGATTATTTTTAAGGTCTGTAACCTTGTTGTGGTTGCAGAAATTTGGTGTGTTGTGACTTTTACTAGTTTCTCAAAGTAGATGGAAAACTGGTTTTTTACTTAGTTTTGAAGGCCTAAAGATTACTTGTTTCTGTCATTTTTTCAGACTGTTCTATGCACCTGTACAAAATGGACTCCCAAAATAGCAATACCCAAGTTTATTGCTTTGTTTCAATATTATTTTTGCTGTTGATCAATGGATTCAAGACCTTCTGAAATGATCTGGAGTCTTGATTTAAAATGCAGTGTTTATCATAAGCCTTTTAGGGTTTTTTGGTTGTAACTGTTAGTATATGACACTTCTGCATGGTCTTCTTTCATTAAATTAGCTAGGGCTTCAGTTCTATGGATAAATTTTAAAAAATAGAAAGGGGCAATTTACATAATTAAACAGTTGTGAGCCAGGATGCTGGTGGGCCAGTCCTCTGGCAAGCACTGTGCTGGGTGCAGATCTGCACTAGGTTGGCAAAGCCTGATGATTCTCCAGTCTTATGCTGGGCAGCTCAGCACTGCAGCAGTGCTGCACATCAGCATCCTGGGGCTGCCTGCTCATGGCATGGGAGTGGAACTGGCACTGAAGAGCCTGATTTCTAAACCCTGCCACTATTCAGATACTCCACTGAGAACTGAACAGGGTCTATCTCAAAAAGAATCTTTTTGGCCTTTGATGAAAAACCTGCAGCAGATATTTTGGAGCAGACATTAAATGAAGCACAAGTGTTTCCAAGGTTTACATGAATTAATGTTTTCCAGGGTGACACTTCTGCAATGTGACTTCTCCTAAGTCTCTAATTTTCCATGTGCTTCTCTCGCAAGAGTTGGTTCCCAATGGTTTAAAATAAATTGGTACAAAATACCAAAAATATGCTTGTGTTTTTCCCAAGGAACAAATTGGCTGGAGGAATGTTACAAGACTATTGGTGTTTTCCACGGATGCTGGATTCCACTTTGCAGGAGATGGTAAACTTGGTGGAATTGTTCTGCCAAATGATGGGAAATGTCATCTGGAAAATAATGTGTACACAATGAGCCACTATTACGTAAGTCATTATATCATCTTCTAGGGAAATGAATACTTTATGATGCTTAAGCTCAAAAGAACTCATTGGGTCATCTGATATAGTGTCAGACCACTATGTCTTAGAAAATTTATCTGTTTACATTAAGTGATTTTACTTAAACTAAAGCAAATGTGCAGGAACTAATCTAGTCTTAATTGGAAAATTTCAAGAAATGGCAGCTTTCATGCTATGACTATATGTTGCTGGATTTTTACCTTTTTGATGACTAATAGTCCTGTATGCTACACTGAATCACAGAATATTCTGATTTGGAAAGGATGCACAGGGGTCATAGAGTCCAGCTCCTAAGCTGGACTTGTATGTCCACTGGAAAACTGATAGTTGTGTCATGAGTTTATTATTTCACCAGTATTCATTTTCAGAATAGTTTACTAGTGAAAAATACTGTAAAATATCTGCTTGAATGTTTTTTTAAGACTGAAATCTTCTGATGCAAAGTTTATGGTGAGAGTATGGTTAACATTGCATTCGTGGTTTATTGGAAGGGAGATCTCACAAATAATGCAAAGAGAAAAAATTACCAGATGGGGTAACCACAATAAGCTTCACCAAGTTTGTGTGTTCATATATTCCTGACTTGGAGTGAAAATAGCACAATCAAAAACCTAAAATCAATTCAGTTTTATTTCACCATTTCTTTGTGAAACAGTGCAAAAAGTAGTGGTTTTGAGGGACTGAAGATAATTTTCTGAGGACATTGAGATTAAGGATTTAACCTTTTGTATGGCATGGAATCTGATAACATCCATGTGAGGAAACACCTATCTTTATGAGGCATATATGAAATCTTACCAGTGCCTGTTTGTTTTCAGAGGTTGTTTTGCTTTAGAACTGTGACATGCAGAGTTAGGAGTTCTGTGTATGTTTCTAAAGATGATTTGTATTTATGATGTCAGTCTTTTTGATTATTTTCTAACAACATGTCTCAAATTTGAATTTAATTTTATGCTTGACGTTTTAGGATTATCCCTCTATTGCTCATCTGGTACAGAAACTTAGTGAGAACAATATTCAGACAATCTTTGCTGTTACTGAAGAGTTTCAGGCAGTCTATAAGGTAAAGAAATTACTCTGAAGTCATTAAAATTGACTTATTTGAAATTAAAGTAATTGTGGAAGTAAGTGATCGTAGAAGTAATATTTTGCTACCCACATACTTTATTATTAAGCTTTTTTTATTTCTTCAAATCAAAGCTGATTCTCTGTAATTTCCAGTGAGAAAGTGCCCCTTCTCCTAGCTACTCTTTATAGGTATGACTGAGTGGAGAACACATTTGCAGTTCTAATTTTTGTGAACGTTTTTACATCAAAATAGCTGGGGGGGGTGTGGACACTGAATCAGGGGACACGCTTATGAAAGAGCATATTTTGTCTCTTTTGTTCTATTTATATATCCCATGTTTAAAATTAACTAAACTGCTGGATGTGATTGTGCAATAGGAAATGACTTTGTAAAGGACATGCATATTTTTCCTTCTTTTAACCTGTTTTTTTGGTTTTGGGGTTCTTTCTTAAACTGTATTCAAATTTTTGTTGGAAAATGATGCCTGCCTATTTTTAATGTATTCTAAGTGTGGTTGAAGAGAGATTGTGGTCAGCTTGTACAAGGCTTAGTTTCTCTTACCAAATGTAGAGTTTGTGCCAGTAAGGCTGTGTATAACCTCAAAAATGTGTTCATCACTGCAACACAGCTTTATTTTCTGAAGCACTTGACTAGTTAATCCACTAATGCATTATATCACCATTTTTACTGCAAATTATACTCTGTTTGATAGTAAGACTGTACTTTTCCTTCTTTTTTGTCAATATTGAAAGGAACTGAAAAATCTGATACCCAAATCAGCAGTGGGAACATTGTCTTCAAATTCCAGTAATGTGATTCAGCTGATCATTGATGCATACAATGTAAGTTCAGATTTTAGGTATTAATTTTTCTTGCTCGTAAGTTTTTCAAGCAGAGACTCTGAGGTGGATTAGTAAGTGTTCTACACTATAAATACAAGTGTATTTATTGCTGTAAAATATTGTAATCATTAAGCCTCTGTGGCAGTAAGAGGTTAGATGAGTAAAAAGATACACTCCTAAAGTCATTTTAAATGGCATTACAAGGAAAACTTACCATCCCCGTTTTCTCTTTCAAAAAATAAAATTCACAACCAAATCCTACGCTGTTTCTTCAGCTTCTTCACTTTTACCTTCTTCCAATCGTTAGCAAAAAAGGCCATTTTGCTGGGTTTGGCCCCACAATATTTTCTTCATTGCTGCATTGTGTGTAAATGAGGCTCCCTTCTTCTTTGGAGTACATGGGGTAAACAAGTGCCTCCAACATCTGTGGAAACCTGTCCTGACCTTGTAACAAGCTCAGACATGGGAAGGAGTGACCACAGAGTGACTTTGGGCAGCCCTGGGCTGGTGTTTCTCAGCACATTGGAACTTAAATAATTCCAGTGTGCCTCTGGTGTTGGTGCTTAGACCTGGGCATAGTTGTATAATGTCTGCTCTTCAACAGAACACTTCTGCAACTCAGTTTGAAATTAGGTAATAACTGCTGTTTCAGTCCCTTTCTTCAGAGGTCATCCTGGAAAATACTAAGCTACCAAAAGGAGTGACAATCAGTTACAAGTCCTTCTGCAAGAATGGAGTGAATGACACACAAGAAGATGGAAGGAAGTGTTCTAACATTTCTATTGGAGATGAGGTAAGTCAGAGTATATGATCTGCTGCCCAAATACAAAATGCACTTAAAAAGTCCAACACAGCATTTCTTTTTAATAGTACAGACAAAACTCCTTGTAGTAACATGACACCTCCCTTTTTTTTTTTTTTGCAGGTTAGATTTGAGATTAATATAACAGCTAATGAATGTCCAAAGAAAGAACAAAATGAAACAATTAAAATTAAACCACTGGGATTCACTGAAGAAGTTGAAATTAATCTCCAGTTCATCTGTGAGTGTCAGTGTCAGAGTGAAGGAGAACCTAATAGTCCAGCCTGCCATGCAGGAAATGGAACATTTGAATGCGGTGCGTGCAGGTAAATAAATACACATTTTCTTTATTTTTGCCAAAGAGAAATATGAGCAAGATCTTTATTTCCTTAATTAGGGTTTACTTGGGTTTACTAATTTTTTTTTTTTAAAAGAACAAGAATTGCTGTTACAGGCCTGTTTCTTTTAGGATACTCTGAAATACTGCCATATCTCTGCAAATAATCCCTATGCTTAAATATTGATCATTAGATCAGCATTGTTTTATGAGTCAGAATTCAAATTCGGCCTTGAGTCAGTACTTTAAAGGATATAGATCAGTTTTTGGTGTTCCTTTTTAAATCAAGAGAACAGATTTTCCTATCTATGTGTAGAAAAACTTCTTATACTTGGTGTCACTGTCACTGGTGTCCACTTGGCTTCATGTGGGTGAGAACAGGCCTGTGGGTAAGCACAGCCTTTTGTTTTGTAAATGCAGCACTTTCCCAATGATCTGTTGTCTCTGATGGACACCATGTAACAGTCTGTTGATCACTGATGGGAACAAGAGCAACCTCCATTTTCTCATCTGTATCTTACCCTTGATGATGAGAAGTGCTGATCCCTGAAGTTCTCAGTTTGGCAGCTCTGAAGATCATCTACTCTCCTTCTTAATTGCTGTTCATAAGAACCTTTTCATTGAAATACAACAGCATTACAGGGAACAGTTGTTGTCACTTGCGAAATAATTATTATTCTGTCACATGAGAGAGGGATTAATAATGATTATGTGACAGTTTAGTTAGAGGGAGTGACACATAGTCTCTCACCTGGAATATCAGATGAGATAATCAGCATAAAAGCAGCTTAGTCCAGTTTGCTCCAGTGCCTTCAAGAACTAGTACATAGGTGTCTGTTGGAAACCTCATTTGAAGTTTAAGTTGAAATATCCCTTGAGAGAGCAGTCACTTTTAGTGCTGTTCTTTGTGCTATTCTTGTGGCCTTTTTTTTTATGTGTGTGACTTTCAATGAAGGTTACATTTTCAGTCATGCTTTTACCTTGCAGATGTAATGAAGGACGTATTGGAAGACTGTGTGAATGTAGCACAGATGAAGTAAATAGTGAGGATATGGATGCTTACTGCAGGAGGGAGAACAGCACAGAAATCTGCAGTAACAATGGAGAATGCATTTGTGGACAATGTGTGTGCAAGAAAAGGGAGAACACCAATGAAGTGTATTCTGGCAAATACTGTGAATGTGACAACTTCAACTGTGATCGGTCAAATGGTTTAATCTGTGGAGGTGAGAGATGCTTCAGCTTTCTGCAGGCAAAGCTGGTCAGCAGTTCACAAGTCTGTCTTCTCTGCCCAGCAAAGTAGAGATACTTAGCTAAAAGATCAAAGCCACTTGATAACAGAGATGAGGATACTCACAGATTTAGTGATTACAAACACTTGTCTGTTAATAAAACAGCCCTCTGAACAGGTAGTCCGTTAATGCACATTTCACCTTCCTTCAATCACAGCTCCAAGAAGGGCATAAAGTGAACTTGACTTCTGCTGCTTATCACAGAGTTACCCTCAGGTATTTCAGTAAAGAAGGCTGAGACAGCTGTCCTGAGATTGTAATGTTGTACTGGCTCAGTGTAAGTAAGCACTGTGTCAAAAGAACGAGAGAATGCTCTCAGCTTACTTGTAATAGTGGGTGCTTGACAGGATACCAGTGAACTGCTTGACACTGTTCTGAAGGGTAAGTGAAGACTAGAATGTGCAAGATCCAGAAAAACACCTTAAGCACTTGAAGCAAGACTTTGATGCTAGTTAATTCCTGAAATCAAAAGCAATTTAAAACATCATTCAGCACCCAGTGTCTAAATTATTTTGCTACTTTGCATGTGGAAGTATCTGGTAGGAGTATAACTACTACTTCAGTGTTGTCTGTGCTGCAAAAATAAAACAAAGAAGCCACAAGCTCTAACTGAGTGATGAGAATACCTCATTTGTCTGATTTGCTCAGAATCCACTATTGCTCTACAAAGGATGGGAGCAATGGTGGTGATGTTCCAGAATACACAGTGACAGGAAAGTGTTGACTGAAACACTTCATTCATTGGAGAAGGAGGGGAGTAGCCAAACACCTTTCCTTGTCATCCAGATCAGTATAAAGGCATCTTGTTGCTTGTGCAGAGAGTGTAAGGAGCATGAAGTTGGGTTGGGTGTGTGAGGTCAGAAATACAGCAGCTGAATGTTGGTGTCCTGTGGAGCCAAAGCTGTTTCATTTTTCTGTGTTTTGAATACTTGGTTAGTGCACTCCTCATCTTTTTAAGTCTTACTTTGTACATTTGTATAGTGATAGATATGAAGACAGGAGTGGTCAATTTAGCTGTAGCAGTCTGTATCTATCTGTATTATCATATGGCAGTCAATGCCTACAAGATTGTAAACTGAAGCAGTGCTGTCATGCTCTTCACCCAGGGGAGATATGGTCATCACATTATACTATTCTTGATCTCACATTCCTGAGTCTTGTTATTTTGTTTATAAAGAGAAATCCAGATATAGAGGAGAATGGGAAAAGGGAACAAATGCCTGCAAGTAGTCTTTCAGGGAGTATAAATTTAAAATTTATTTTGTACCTCTTAATTCATTCTTCATTATCTCACCATTATTTCTTTTTCTTTTATCTACCCTGAGGTGGTGAAGATTTATTTCTCATTGTCACAGATGTTTTTATATTAGACTTGATTTCATTGCAATACCTTTTCACTGCACAGGAAACGGGATCTGCAAGTGCAGAGTGTGCGAGTGCTTCCCCAACTTCACTGGCAGCGCCTGCGATTGTTCCTTGGATACTACACCGTGTATGGCATCGAATGGGCAGATTTGCAATGGAAGAGGAACCTGTGAATGTGGCACCTGTAACTGTACAGATCCCAAATTCCAAGGCCCCACCTGTGAAATGTGTCAGACTTGCCTTGGTGTCTGTGCAGAGCACAAGTATGTACCCAGAAAACCAAGTCCCAGCTTCTGTGCATTTTGAGTTTGTCATATGTGAGAATTTTTAAAACAAAGCTTTTGATAGGTAAAACTTCAGCTAAGATTTTTATTTAAAAGAAATACTACTGAAATTACTACCTTGACAGTCAGTAACTAAACCTAGACCTGTGTGGGCCAGTGAAATTTGGAAATCCAGGTTTTTAGAAACCTAGTGTTTTCTGTGTGAAAACTTTGAAATATGTTTAGAATTAGTGGCTAAGAGGATTCCTGTGCAACTCACTTTGTGCTGAGAAAAAAACTTGGTATTTTTAGTATAAAAATCCTGTTCAATCTGCTTTTTTCAATGAATTATTCAGTGATACCCCACTGTAAAGCTCATCACTGAGTTTTTCTTTTTAACCTGTGTGTGTTCCACTCTAAGTACCCTGTTCTTACAGAGCCTTCTCTGAGAGTATTCATTTCCCAGGTAGAGGTGTTGAAAAAGTTTGGGTTTTTTTTCTGTCCTTCAAACCAGTGGGTCATTCAGGGAAAGAGGATTTTATGAAAAGGACTTTTGTCAATCTCAAGGTATATAAATGTTCTGACTGGTACAACGCCATGTCTTACTTTATTTTTTTCCTAACCTTTATGGCAAAAGGGTTGGGTTTTTTGGGCTTTTTGCCCTGTTTTCTCCATAACATTTCTTGAGATTAAATGCTAGAAATCTTCCATGAACACATTCAGAAGGACTTCTTCTGTTTTATTCTTGCCCAGGGACTGTGTTCAGTGCAGAGCTTTCGATAAGGGCGAGAAGAAGGAGACGTGTTCGCAGGAGTGCATGCACTTCAACATGACGCGCGTGGAGAGCCGCGACAAGCTGCCGCAGCCGGGCCAGCCCGACCCCCTGTCCCACTGCAAAGAGAAGGACGTGGATGACTGCTGGTTCTACTTCACTTACTCTGTCAACTCCAATGGTGAAGCCAATGTCCACGTGGTGGAGACCCCAGGTAAGAACTTGATGTTGCCTGTTCCTCCTTTGTTGTTGATTTGTGCAGTTGTTGGGTGCCTCTGGTTGATTTGGGTGAGTTAAATGCATTCAGAAACGGGTGCCTGTTACCTGAGTGACAGTTGTGCATGTCCAAGTAGAAAACAAAAGTAGAAAAAAGTTTTAGAAAAACATGTGTGTCCCTAGATCGAGATTTTTCAAACCCTTGGGCTGATATAGAAACAGATTCTATTTTTTAAAAACAAAAGGTAAATCAGATATGCGTATTTGTTGAAACATTTCCTGTTTGCACTTGATGTACTCTGACTTACTTTATCTCTCCTGTAGCAAGTCCTATTTAGATAAATTTTGATAATTTTTTTAACTAGGCTTCTGCTACAGGTCATAAACAATGGAGTCTGTGGGGTTTTGTTCCTTTTTTCTTTTCCTTTTTTTGATAATTTGAGATCAGTCTACATGAGATTGTGTACTATGCTGCAAACTGCTTGAATTTTTTTATGCTGAAAACCTTTGCTTTTACTCGACTGTGGTACCTTCAATAGTAGATCCCAAAATAATTTTGTTTAGTTGATCCTTAATAGATCAATCTTCTGATAGAAAAAAAAAGTGAGAACAATTCAACAATTCTATAGCTCCATCAGTAATTTACCATTTCTTTACCAAGAGTATTGTTAGTTTGAATCACTGGATGTTGCATCTAACAGTGCAGAATTTATGGTTCTGTACATTAGGAGTTTGTGGTCTCCTGATTTTTAAAAGCCTGATAGAAAATACACGTTAGAGATTTAGTGCTGTATTATATACTTGAGGAATTTTCAGAATGTATCATTTTAATGATCATTTCTTAACACAGTCCTAGTGGCTAGCGGCTCTTAGAAATAAATACTGCTTCAATTCAGAATGTTTTAAATTCTCTACCAAAGTAGTCCACAGTATAGAGGAGCTCTCTCTCCTAGGACAAGCTGTATATGCCCTATGCTTTTGGGGCCTGACCTTTTCATGTACAAACTTCTGCTGCCTTAGCTCAAAGGTGAATCAAGCCCATTGTGCATGAGGAGGCACCTTAATTTGTGTCATACAAGTGCTGAAGGAACAAGCTCTGGCCAGTAGAGCTGTGTTCTGTGGAGCAGACACTTTTTCCTGACTGGCTCCCAAGGAATTCCTGTCATGGCCCTTCCCACTTCCCTCACTCTTGCAGAGGCAGCTATGAAGATAGGGAGTGTGGGGGAAGCTGTGTTCTATCCAGTTGTTCTGTTGTAGAGGACTTGTATTCATTTGCTTCTGACTCTTTCAGTCTGTGCACTGAGCTCTGCAAAAGCCTTTCTTCAGTTTGTGGTTATTGGGAATTTCATGTTAACAGTGGAGTTGGATTTTAATTTGGAGGGTTATTATTTCTGTGTCAGCCACTTTAAATCACCTTCCATCTCATCACAGTCTACAGCTTCTTTGTGAGGGGAAGAGGAGGGGCACACACTGATCTCTGTGGTGACCATGACAGCACCCAAGGGAATGCCCTGAAGTTGTGTCAGGGAAGGTTTAGGCTGGATATTAGTAAAGGTTCTTCACCCAGAGGGTGGTTGGGCACTGGAACAGGCTCCCCAGGGAAGTGATCAGAGCACCAGCCTGACAGAGGTCAAGAAGTCTTTGCACAATGTTCTCAGGCACAGATGTGACTCTTGAGACTTCCCTGTGCAGGGACAGGAGTTGGACTCAATGGTCCTTGTGGGTCCCTTCCAACTCACGATATTCTGCTTCTATGTGTGGGGCCTGTTCTGCTGGTTGGCATTTGTGCTGTCACAGCTTTGACTTGGAGCTCTTGCATGTTTAAATACAGTTGCTAGTTATTTTACTCTTAATATTGTAAATAATTAGCTTAAGGGGTAAGCAGTGTATAGACTATCTTCAGAACAGGTTGTTCTGTTGCTAGAGTAGAAGGATAAAAATAAGCTGGAATGTTACAGGATGTACATATTCCAAAAATTCTGTTATTTGAAAGAAAAGTAATATTGGCTCATTTGATATTTAAAATACTGGCTTCAGTACAAAATCAAACATTAACAGCTTCTGGATATGCATTACCTTTACCATTTTGGAAAATCATGTTTCCCTTGCTTTGTTCCCCAGAGTGCCCCAGTGGTCCTGACATCATTCCCATTGTAGCCGGCGTGGTTGCTGGAATTGTTCTTATTGGACTTGCATTATTATTGATTTGGAAACTACTAATGATCATTCATGACAGAAGAGAATTTGCTAAATTTGAAAAGGAGAAGATGAATGCCAAGTGGGATACGGTGAGTCAAGAAGCTTTTCTATGCATAAAAGCTGCAGTAGCAGAGGAAAAATAGAAGATTTTTGTTCATGTGCTTTAAAGTGTTTCACATCATAACCAGTCCTCTTGGAGAGGTGTTTCTTGAGGCAGAAAAGAGAGTAGTTGCTTATAATATGCTTTAAATAAGATTTCAGAGAGGAAATGTGATGGTGACAGAACAGTTCAGCTTTGCAGTTCTACCACACTCTACAGCCTATGATTAAAGCGTTTATTACAAGGATGAGTCATTTCTGTAGAAAGCAAAGAAAATTTTGCACTGATTGAGGAAATCTTGTAAATACTCACACAGGGTTAGTTGGGAGACTTCCATAAAGTCACAAAATCATGGCTGGTACTGGTTTGTTGAAATCTTCCCAGCTCTTTGTCAACAGAGAAATGTGCAAGAAAAACAAGCCTGTGGTCTATGGTTTCCAGAGACTGCAGAATCGCTGCCTCTGGGCAATGTCAGGAGCCTGCTAATCAAGAGCCCCTTCACCACAGTTCTGTAGAAGTCAACGCCCCCATGTGCTTGATGAGAAAATATCTTTTTAAAAAATTGTCCTAGAAAGCCTTTTGGTTTTATTTAAGAAAATTGATTAATCTCGTACTGGGGGAAAAAAAATTACTAACATTTTATTTTATATATAGCATGATTCTTTTTCAGTGATAGTTGAGAATGTTGCTTTTTTTTTCCTGTTGAATTATTCGACATTGACCATTTCTTTTACTTCAGCAAGAAAATCCAATATACAAGAGCCCTATTAACAATTTCAAGAATCCAAACTATGGACGTAAAGCTGGTCTCTAAGTCTCAGTTTGTATCTCCTTTCATTTTCTTTCCTTTTTTCCCCCTTTGCATGTCACTTCAAACTCACTGTGTGTCACAGTCCGTTAATCACAGTTTGAGTCTTGCTCAGTGTATCTACTTCTGCTTTGATTATGGGGCTTTCAAGAATGCAGCTTGAAAATTTTTAACTGGTTTTGACAGTGAGATTGCTTACTTACTAATACTGCCAATACTGGCTTAAACTATACTACAAGTGATTTTTAAATTTTTTTTTCTAGATGTGTGGATACATAATAGAGCAGCTCCTAGGATTGAAGAATATTTTTGGATTGTTGAGAGACACACAGGGGATGCTTTGTCTTCTAGTTCTTCAAATCAGCAGTCAGTTTGCTTAAAATCAATATTTTTGCTAAGCTAGATTAGATACTCTTAAAATATCCCAGCCTATAAATATCCCTGTTTTTATTGGAAGAGCTCTGTGAACATGCAGAGTAGCATTACTTTTTTTTGTCAACTGCTTTGGCTTCTTAACCTAGAATAGAGCTAGCCTGTAATTAAGGTATGAAATGCATATACTCTACTAATTTTATAATTAAATATGCACCTTATTTTTTTCATCCTTATTTCTATTGAAACTGGCAATATCACAGTCCTTGTAACCCAGCCAGCTTTAGGGTGTCTATAGATATGGAACATTAATAGGACAGGAGGAAATATCCTTGTCCCCTCTAGATGCATTTTCCACTCAGTTTCTTACTCTCTCCTAAACTCAGCCTGAGCCCCTCATTTGGTTGGAGCTGCTGAGTTCAGTTCTCTTCACACCCAACACACCAAAGTAACAGCACTGTCCAGGAGAGGAAATCAGTGAAGCACAAGGGATGAGCTGATGCCTTTTGCAGACTCCCAGATTGCCCTTCCATGAGTGCTTGAGGTGTTCTCCTTCCCTGGGACCCCCAGCTGCTGGGGAAGGAGGGAAAGGGAGGCTGACATGGGGAATGGATGTCAGAAGAGCACTAAGAGAAAGTAGTGTAGAGATGAGACTAGAGGGAGGGGAATGAAGAAGTTGCGAAGGCAGCACATCCATTAAACATCCATGGAGTTTTTTTCAGAAGCCAGTGGAAGGGAAGGATCTGTATCTCTAATTTGATACTGTCTGCTGTCTCCCTTTTTCAGTGTTGCATTCGAAAGTTTTTGTAAAGGAAAAATAAGAGGAGAAAGCAGAAACTGAGAATATTTAAGCTCTTACTGTGACAACAGTTCCAAATACTTT